GGCAACAACAATACTACAGCGAGGATAAAAGTTACGCTTTCTTTCTTTGCGTGAACATTTGGGCGGTGTTATGCAAATCTTCCCACATAGTGAGGTAGATATGTGGGGGCGTGTTCGAACGAGCCGTTTTAGGGGGGTGTGGCTGACTCTTAACTTTTATAAAGAATATCTCTTTGGATTTGAGACTTTAGTCTTTGCAACTTTACAGATCTTCTTTATGCACCAAGAGCTTGTAACACTCCAAAGAGAAAGGAAAAAATGAAATTGCATCATATGACCCCTTTAATAAACGCATTACACCGTAACTAAACCCATTAGATTTTAGCCGACTAAATTTACTGTAGATTTAGTCAACTAAAATCTTATGATATTTAGTCGACTAAAACTAAAAACAATTCAGATGACTAAAATATGACAAACTAAATGGCATTTTAGTCAAAAGACTACGACAAACTAAATCAATTTGCTGTCAAAATTAACACTGCTTCACAGCTTTGGATGGAAACATAGCTAGTGTGTCAGAGTCCGTTTTTTTTTTAATTTAAATATTTGCCCCCTTGAATTAATTTTCAGTGAAGTCCACCGTTTGCCGTGAGTTTGACTGACAGGCAATCTGACCAATCATAACGGCAAATCAACAAACAAATGCCTGGTTTGCTTGTTGAACAAAATGGCGGATTTGCAGATTAACTAGCAGTGTAGCAGATTAACTTTGATGGACTTGAACTTGAATTGTGTATTGGTGTTTTTGCAGGGTTGAAACAACATACCTTCCATATATATTCCTTGCTATAAATAGTAGTAAATATTAAATATTTTTGCAAAGGGTCAGTTAACCTTCATGAGGACATTTGAGAATATTTCTGTCTAACATACAGTGCACAGAATGTTGTACATTTCTTCAATTTAAATAAATACATTGTATACAGTGTCTAGAATAGAAGCTTACATGCTTAAATCAAATTAATAAACATATCCAAATAAATTAATTAAAAAAAAAAATTATTAAAAAAAAATAATTATCAAAACAAATGTCTAAAATATCAACTTAAATTAACTGTTTTTGCAGGGTTGAAACAACATACCTTCCATATATATTCCTTGCTATAAATAGTAGTAAATATTAAATATTTTTGCAAAGGGTTAGTTAACCTTCATGAGGACATTTGAGAATATTTCTGTCTAACATACAGTGCACAGAATGTTGTACATTTCTTCAATTTAAATAAATACATTGTATACAGTGTCTAGAATAGAAGCTTACATGCTTAAATCAAATTAATAAACATATCCAAATTAATTAATTTTAAAAAAAATTATCAAAAAAAAATAATCAAAACAAATGTCTAAAATATCAACTTAAATTAACATCTAAATATAAAAATAACAAATAAATAATCTAAAATATGAAATTAATCAAAATCAACATCTGAATATCAAAAATAAATATGTAAATATTTAAAATATCAAATCAAACAAACCAATCTACAAAAATATCAAAATAAATAAATGCATGAATAGGAATTTGTGTATTAACACTAAGCCCAGGTTAATTTTCCTTGTTTTAACCCACACACCATACATCTGGTCAGCTAGAGTTCAAATGTGAAATCAGCTGCTGCTGCGAGGACTGGGCGTCTCATGTGTGCATGTGCTGTCAGTTGACTATGATGTGCTTGTTGCTCACATTTAAAACATAAAAGAGTGATGAACTTGTATTGTGTGCTAAAGCTCAATGAAAACAAAAGAAACTCCATATTGTTGAAGAAACATCTGGTATAAGCACAGCCACACATGGGCATAAAACCAGAGTTTACTGATTAAAATGGTGGGTGTGTTTGTGTGTGTGACAGAAAGAGAGGGAGAGAGATAAAAGGACACAGTTTCCAGCTGGATTGACTAGTTTTCTACACAGTAAGGGCCATCAACGTGAAACATGACTGTCTGGTGGGCCAAACAATGAGCTTTCTGCTGAGAGAGACAATGAAGAGCTATTTATCTGTGAAGAGGAAGCCGGGTGCATCAGTTCAAGACCTTTAATTATCATACAAGGGGCGTAATGGCTACAAAACGCTCAATCTCCATTCATTTGTCTCGAGACTGGCTGATGAATGGTAGGAGTGCCATCACAGAGCCCTCTGTGTACGTACAACACTGCACACCTCCCAGCCACCGCCACAGGAGTCCCAGCACAAGCGCCGCTCAAATACATTGCCAGACGTCTACCTAGAGCACACGTTAAGATTTTTCCTGATGAAGAGGATGCTCCAAAAATACAGAAAACCGAAAACAATGCTGCCTACTAAAATCAGATTTTGGTTCAAATCCAAGGCAGAACTGCATTTAGCCTTCACATATAAAGAAATTCCAGAATGAATTGTGATTCTATGTTGATTTACTCAATATCTGTGCACAACGTATTTAAAAAAGTTAATTTTAGAATTTTTCCATAATGGTGCCCTGTTAGCTTAGCAACATGCTAACATCAAACTACTGGAATCAATTATGGATTCCATTTTGTCTTAGAAAAAAGTACCCTACATAGGTAATAGACAACAAGGCAGCTCACTAGGCTTTGGTACAGAAAAATTGAAGAACGAGGCATAAACTGGAGACTCGAGCAGATCAAGTCCATGAGGTTCTTTACTCATTGTTCAATAAACGTGTGGAAATAATATAGATTAAGAACATGAGCACTTACTGTGGATCTGGTAGGTATCGTAAAACAATGCTGCCCATTTCTGGAGAAAGAGAGAACAACATATGCTTTTTAGATCAAGATTTTGAATACATCAGTGATGTAAAAAAAAAAAATCACGCATTTGTTGGCTGTACTGTGATGCTGAGCTTCATGAAAGAGAATAAAAGCCAAAGGTTCTGGTCTAAACATGGGAATTTGTCACAATGACACAGGCAGTTTGACCACACTGACAAGTGCCACAGCAACTACTATAACACCAAATTAATAAATGACTAATATCTAAACACAAACACACACAAACAGAATATATAGAAACTTTATAAAATTTTTGCGGATAAAATATATACAATTAATTACATTAAATTTAAATGTAAAATATGCAGTATATATAGTCGACATAGCAGTGGCACTGAAAACCATGGTGGCGAATAATTTATCCGAGGGTCATGATGTAAATAATAAATAATAATGGGCTGAGAACTGAGCCCTGTGGAACACCCTGTTCGAGTAAGACAGTGGGTGATATATAGTTATGCATGGTGATGTAGTATTGTCTGTCTGTCAGATAGGAGGAAAACCAGGATAGCGCAGCTCCTGAGATGCCAATCTCTGAAAGGCATAGGAGTAATAACTTATGACAGACAGTATCAAAAGCTGAGCTGAGATCAAGTAATAAGAGTATGGAAAGATTGCCCGAGTCAATAAAGTAAGAGGTCATTAATAACCCTGAAATACTAAAGCATTTCAGTACTGTGATGCAAGCGAAAACCTGACTGAAATATATCAAACTGACTGTTGAGAGCTAGAAATGACTGCAGTTAACTGGCAACAACCTTTTCCATGATTTTTGAATTTTTATATTTTCTATAATGATTTATATATTTAATGTTTTATAAATTGTTACACATCAAAAATTAAATCTAATGTGCTTGCATGCATAGTGATTTCTTTAAGGTTCACTCAACTTTTTACCATTCAAAACTGCAAAAATCAACCTATACATTTTAACATGGCGAAGACTTCAAAGAGTTCATGGGCTAAAAATACAAGTGGCATTAGCAGGGGTGTATTCCAGAAAGCACGGTTAACTTACCGTCAACTAAACCCGGAACTTTCGGTTGATTAACCCCAAACCTTGCTTACTCGAGGTATGTGGTTCCAAAAACGCGTCCGGGAGTAAGTTAATTCAACTCAGAGTATGTTCCTGGGCTGTAATCAAAGCAGCTCTGCTCATGAATGCTACTTTATCAGATCAAATGAAAATGTCATCGAAACTTTTCTGAAGACAGTCGGTTCCCTTCAGAGATACATTCATATAAAACACCCGCGCCGTGTTATGATTTTGAAACGTGCAGTGCTCATGTTTATTCAACGAAGTCAAACGGCACAAATAAATCAATGTATGGGAAACTGGTAATGTATATCGAAATATCGGAAATGTGTTTAAAAATCATATCACTGTTATTGAAAAAAATCATATCGCGATACATATTGATATTTAATTATTGTCCAGCCCTACTTTCTGGTTAAAATTGCATGTGAAAACCATTATATCTTGCAGAGATATCTTTGGGATTAGACTGCTGCTTTTCAACTTGAAAAATCTCTTTTAATATGATTTTTAAATAATGAAAACACGTCTACACAACACTATCTTTATTCTAGAGTGTCCAGTATTCATTTAGGATTCATCCATTTTGGATGCATGCAGATACACAAGTGATTCATAAAAAATTATTTACATCAAACTATGTGTTTTTTTTACATACACCCACCTCCTGAGCCAGTCTGAAAGCACAACCAAACTGTTCTCCATCAGTATTTCTGGACCAGACCTTCACGCCCGTGTTTATAACCTGCAGAAAGACAGAGAAACTGGGCATGAAGAACTCCATCTACAACAGTGCTTTGCTGCTTGATTATTATATATTTTTTAATTTGGTAAAACCTTACAGTAACACACAAGGCTACGTTTTCTACGTGCATTTACGCTTTGATTTGAACGAAAACAGCGCATCCGTGTGGCACGGCTGACACAGAAGAGCATACACTGCTTCCGTTCAGCCGATATTCTTCAAAATGACGCTACGGTGATGCGGAGAGACACAGAGACGACGAATTATTGAATAAAGTTGTTATTTTTGTTTTCTTCGCGTACAAAAAGTATTCTCGTCGCTTCATAACATTACGGTTGAACCACTGATGGCAGATGGACTATTCTGACGATGTCTTTCATACTTTTCTGGACCTTGACAGTGTAATTTACTTGGCAGTCAATGGGACAGTCACAAGCCTCCCGGTTTTCATCCAAAATATCTTAAATTGTGTTCCCGAAGACGAACAAAGCTTTTACGGGTTTGGAACGACATTGGGGTAAGTGATGTATATACACATACATATATATATATATATAATTCACATCCAAAAATACGGTACCTCTAGGGTACATACATACATATATATGTATATATATATAAAATAAAAATAATAATTATAATAAATTATAACGTATTGTAATTACTTAAAATTATTAAGTACTATTCAGTTAAAATAGTTCTGCATTACTACCCAAATATCATTACAGCATGTGAATTGCTCAGAACACAAATAATACAACAAAGGATGGGGTGTGTAAGTGTTTACAGTGCGTTTCCTTGTTGTAACGTAACTGCAGTGATGTCTGTTTACATTAGCAGCAGATGGTTGTTTCATACTTGATGAATGTGAAGGCACTAGAGCACAGATAGAGATGAGATCATAGTGAGGCTGCTGTCCCCATCTGCCTGTACGCCATCTTCAATCACTGCTAGCACTGATGAAGGGCCATCAGAGTGTGTGTGTGTGTGTGCTCTTGCCTTCATTCTCTCGCTGTTGTTGAGCAGAACATTTCGGAGCTCTTTGGACACCATGTACAGGTGCCTCTTCTTTCCTTCATGGGTGCGAGTCAATACGTTCAGCTTGGGGAAATCTGGAGACAGGTTGTAGAAAGCTCTGCAGCAGACAAAGAAATATCACAGCATAAAATAAATGATGGTTAGACAGAAGGAAAAAAAACGCACATATGCGCACAGCTCTGAACACGCTGCGACATATGGAGCAGAGGCGTTGTCTCCAACAAGTCAAAATGGCGGGTTGCCAGCGCTGTGGCACTGTGCATCTGTGTGAGAAAATAAATAACATTCATCACAAACAAAAGATGGAGTCACCGTGACTGAACGATAATGATCATATCATCCATTCTTCTGATTGGTCACATAGGATGTATAGTGTAATAACAGATAAAACACACACAAAGGCCCCGGCCCACTCAGAGCATATATATTCAGACATGACAAACACACACTGGGATCAGAAAAATACTGCTTAAAAAAAAAAAAAAAAAAAAGCAAGATATGAGAGCGTTTGTAAAAACAATATTTGTATTGAGCAGCGAGGCTTTGTAAATGGAGAGGAGAGGCACTCACTGGATGGGAGGGAAGATGGGGTCATCCTCTGTCAGAAACACAAAAGGATCCTCTTTGAAGCCAAAGAGTTTCATCTTCTTTGGAGGAGGGGGGCTATAACAGACAGAGCACTTCATGTCAATGTGGAGCACAGTAACTGAAGAAAAACTGCAGTAACACATACCGTCCATCAGGGGGCACTGAAATCAACACCACAAGTATCGCCTGAAAGCGAATGAGTTTGAAATGGAATTCTTTCTTACTGAATTCTTAAAGAATACTGCACAGTTGCTGCATTTCTATTATGTGAAACAACAGATTACGCAACAATAAATGGTTCAAACTGTCATCAAATAATTATACAAGTATAATGTCTGTTCAACAATTAAAACACATCAAGACTCAATGCAACGACATGTTTGTTTTAGGACTGTGCGATTTGGGGGAAAATATCAAATAGCGATTTATTTTTTTATAGATATTGCGATTGCGATTTGATTTGCGATTTTAAATTTGCAAAGTCAAGCTTCAGCTCAATATTGTCAATAATGTGCAGCACAGTATGGGTATCATTACCCTGCTGAAAAAAACAATAGAAACCATCACAGAAATTCTTATAGTTTCCATTAAACCATTACAAAATTCCTTTTTGTTTTGGGCATTATTCCAAAGTTTTATTACTATTGTAATAATATAGTTATGTTTATAAAATATAGTTATTTTATTATTAAAATGGTTGCTATTAATATTAACAGCTTTAATGATTGTTTTAAACCGTTCTAATAATAATAATAATAATAATAATAATAATAATATTTAGATCTGTTTGTTATTTATGTTGTTGCTAGAATATTAACTATTGTTATTGTAATGTTATGTAACAGACACGTTGATTATCATTAGTTATTATTATTATACATTAACAAGATGATGTTAACAGGGCTGTGTTTGAAATGTCTTGAGCAAACTTTCTCATCTGGGAACTATGGACATGACCATCCTACCTTGATCATGGACACCCTAAAAATGCTACTGATTTTCTTGCCATTGTATCGATTTATTTTAATATTTAATATTACTTTACCAAGATCTTGTTAATTAAATGTTTAAAATAAAGATATAACAAAAATAGATCTACTGATTTATAATACTGGTTATTAAACCACTTATGACTCATAGACTTTATCATTCATTTATCATCATCAGCCAAAATGTCTTCTTTGGTGCGTCCCAAAATCCACAGCACAGAGAGAACCAAAGAATGAACGAACGACCAGCAGAGAGAACAACAGGGTGACTGCTGCACCCACACACACACCTGGCTGAAGATACTCACCCACAGACATTATCTTTCTTGACCTCTGAAGGGTCAGGGGTATCTGGGACAGACGGGTTTCCCTCTGCAGGAGTCTCGCCCTCCACTGCTTCCATAGGGGCGCCAGCGGATGAACCGTCTGCTGGTGGGACGACAGCGGGAGACCCCCCCATCTGCAGCTCCTCTGCAGGAGCCGCCTCACTGGAGGAGTTCACCTCCTTATTACGAAGCTACAGACAAAAAGAGGACAGAGACAATAGCTATGCTTCCATCCACCTATTTTTATGCGCATTTTAGGATATTGAATTTAAAAAAAAAAGGAAACGCTTGATGGAAACACCAAGATGCGCATCAATTCTAAAAATGTGCATTAAAAAACTTGTGTGCTCAACTAAGTAGGATACATTTCTTATCCGGTAAGAAAACATGCGCATAAACTATGATGGAAACTAGTGCTGTCAGTTGATTAATCGCATCCAAAATAAATGTTTTTGTATACATAATATATTTATGTGTACTGTGTTTATTTATTATGTATATATATTGTAGCGTCTGGACCAATCAAACACACAATTTTTCATTTGATTTAACAAATCAGTTATTCATTAGATTAACAAAGATGTTTCCTTCAGGCTGTAAATCTGCTGAATATCAAATGGTACCGTAGTTTCATACTTTTATTTCTCTTCTTTAATGATTAATTATTCATATTTCCCCGTGAGCTGATTCGCTACAATATAAATATTAAATATATTTATTTAATAATATAAAATATAATACTATACATATATAAATGTAAATATTTTCAAAATATATACTGAATGTGTGTGTATTTATATATACATAATAAATAAACAGTACACAAATATATTATGTAAACAAAAACTTTTATTTTGGATGCGATTAATCGCGATTAATCATTTGACAGCACTAATGGAAACACTTTGACAGAATAAATTCCTTAATGCGCATCAAAAAAAGACATGCGACTTTGCGATGGGACAGCATAACTGGATGAACCAACGGACCGATCTCAGTGCACAGCATCTGAAATGCTAGTTTTGTCATTCTAAAATGCTTAAGCAAAGTCTCGTCAAAGTGCTTCGTTATAATTAACTCCCAAAACTGCGTTCCCAAACAGCAGGCTCCGAAAATAAGATAGCATGACCACATTTCATCTGCGCGCTACGAAGCTCGTAGTTTATTGTATACAAAAATTATTATATACAGTGCCTTCTCCTACAGCAGCAAATTAATGTTTTCTTCGTGATATTTAGCCCAAGTTAATCAGGAAGGGACGATTTTGTTCTCTTCAACTCACTGGATGGAAACGGTGCTTTATTCGCAAATGTTTTATACAATATTCCAAGTTTCTTAACTTTGGATGGAAACAGCTATAGGTACACACGCTAGCAAAGAGGGTGGATTCATCCAAGAAAACGACAAAAAGATACCATAAATGTACTCTCATACAACTTCAATGCTCTGTTTGCATATATTTTATGTTTCTAATACCTTTGGGTAACGGCGGTTCCATGGCATGGGCGCCTTCTTCACCAACACAGCCACAAAAAACCCACCGGTGTTCTGGTGATGGGGCAATATTCTCATACTGAAAACACAAGCCAAATGTACCATAATGACTAGAGATAAATCAGAGTAAATTAGGATCACACACAGTGACAGTTTACAGGTTAGTATTGCTTCACTTTTACTGTGGTTGTATACTACCATCTAGAGGAGAGTTCTGGAACAACACAAGCATGTGAGACAGTTTGAAGCCGTTAGTTTTTTGTTTGTTTGTTTGATTAAAAGCTGTTAGTTTCTGTTACAGACAGATATACATGATCAAAACAAACTCACCATCTCTCCAGCTTCATATTGGCCAGCTTTTCTGGGTCTGTTGGTGGAAACATGGTGGGTCTGATCTGAGTGTGTCGACTTGTTGGCACCTCTGACCAGTCAGAGAACCACTGACCCTCTTTGGTCATTACCTTTAAAAGAGCACAGAGACCTTTTTTTTGTAAAGAAATAATTTTTATTCAGCGAGGATGCATTAAACTGATTAAAAGTGACAGAAAAGACATTTCCACAAAGCTGTTTGCAACGTGCTCTTGCCGTCACTTAATCGTTTATTTTTGTGCATCAATCTATTAAATTAGTATATAAGACCATGATCCGCACTCACAAAATAGTCTTCTCTTTAGCGTTTATTTTATATTAATCGCCAATAGGATAAAACACAAACGTTTCGGCTCAAGGCCTTCTTCAGTGTGTTGAAGAAGCAGAGCACACACTAAAGGCAGCATTGAGCTGAAACGTTTGCGTTTTGTCCTATTGGTGATTAATGTAAAAAACGCTAAATAGAGAACTATTTTGTGAGTGCGGATCATAGGTAAAGACATTTAAAATGTTACAAAATATAACCATTTCAAATAAGCGTTTCCACAAAAACAGGAAGCAGCACAACTGTTTTCAACATTAATAATAAGAAGAAATTTTTCTTGAGCAGCAAATATTTATGGCCGGTTAATTATCAACTCACTCACCATCGGCATGTGTGGCAAAAAGTTAATTTTGGAACTAGACTCATTTTGTAGCTACATTTAAAGGTGAAATCATGAAAATCATACTTTTTCCACCCGTTTAAGTGCTATAATCGGGTCCCTAGTGCATCTACAGAAAACGTGAAAAAGAACAACCTAGTAACTTTGTTTTAGTAAGCCTTTCTCTGCAAGCTTGTGAAAAAAACGAGCCGCTCAGATTTTGCTCCCCCCGTGACGTAGAAAGGGGATCTTATTATAATATTACCACCCCTTAAAGGATTAGTTCACTTCTGAATTAAAATTTCTCTCCCCCATGTCATCCAAGATGTTCATGTCTTTCTTTCTTCAGTCGAAAAGAAATTAAGGTTTTTGAGGAAAACATTCCAGGGTTCCCTTTCATGGGAACTTCGAACTGCGTCCTCTAGGGGTCGCCATGGGGAACGCCTCGTCATGACCCGTGTCTGAAGCATACATTGAAAAAACACCAACTCGTTGGCCGGCGACAGCCATGACGTCACTACCGGTGCGACTATAGTATAAATAGGCGCCGGGAGCACACATCATTCTCTTCTTCGTCTTCATTGACTGTTTTGTTTGAAGCATGCATTTCTGTGGTAAGAGCAATCTCTATTCATCTCATTATGGCGAGAACTAGCAAAGCGTTTAAGAATGTGTGCATCCGTGTTGACGTTGTTTAAACATCTGATGACACACACGATCTATGCATTATTTGTTTGGGCGAAGAGCAC